AGCAATTGACTGCCCTTACCGTTGTGTTTTTCTTTTTAGAAACTGCCTTTCCCTGAAAAAAAGAGAAAGAATTAAATGTATTGGTTTCAGTTCATTCAGCTTTTTCACATTCAGTGAACTTTACTGGCAAAATGCAGTATCATGTAACATCAACTGCTGTTCAATGCATTTTTTCCCTCCTGTTTATTGGCAGGGAACCTATCACATGATCTGCAAATAACTGAGACTAGAAATACCCCAATCCTGTATAGCACTTCTCATGGCTCATACAGGTCAGGGTCTAGATGGGGTCCAAATGTCAGTTGTCAGTTTAATTTTGGGCCATTTGTCAGTTGTCAGTTAAGTGGCTGTTAATAATAATAATAATTTAACTGAAGATCCTAAGCCTCTGCTAGAGCACTTTCCATTCCACCAAAAACTGCAAAAGTTTCAAAACAACGACAAATATGCTGGGTAAGGGAATTTCCTAGGAAAGTTTCCAGAAAATCCAGAAGCTGTTGAATTGTTGAAAAGTGAACCATTCAACTGAAAATTCAGGGAATATAAAATAACAGCTGACATTTCAATCTATTCCCCCTGTGGCCTGAATTGAGGATAATATAACTGATATCAAATTTTTAATGATTAATAGGTCTTAATATTACTACAGGTAATCCTATGAATGCGAGTACAAATTATTTGAAAGAATTTTCAAATGTCATGAGTAGTGTATATTTAATCCTTAATTGCTCAAGCCTTCATATAATTACTCATTTATTATATGACTGGGAAAATCACAAAAGTGTGTGCGTTAATTTTCACTGCAATGCAAATTTAAAATTAACGACAAATTGGCCTGCTCTTCGCCAATCACAATGAAGTAATTTTCTCAGTTATATAATAAACAGACTTAAAGTAATAATATTTCAATGAATTTCAAACAAATATCAAGGGCTTTTAAAATCTTTTGTCTGGTGTTAGAAAATCTGACTACAAATGTCAGTTTTCAGTTAAAGTTTTGGGTATTCATCAGTTAATTTTTTTTCCATTTGTCAGTTGTCAGTTGTCAGTTAATCCCATCCACACCCTAATACAGACCTCAGGATTTTTCTTTCAAGTACTGGTAATATAATGTCAAACATTTAAGACCATGCTTGAACACATTTCTAAACAGTGCAAACTGGAACTAGTGGATTTTCCACACGGGCAATTAGAGTTTGCCCTTTGCTTGCCCAATTGGCAAGTGAAGTTCCTTGGGAAAATGTTGTGAGGAAATTCAAATAACAGGAGTACTTGGGGATATGAAATTTTTGGGGGCTTTAAGTTAGAGCAATGGTTGGGCTAGACTAGTATATTTAAGTTAGAGCTTGCCCGTAGGACCTGCAAAAAAAAAAGGTTTTTATTTTGCCCCACAACACACCCATGAAATTACACTTCAATTGTGTATGGAAAAAACATCCCAACAATTAAACAGAAACAAAAGTTAATGTTATTGATAAAGAGAGTACCGGTATACAGTGTACAGTGTAAGTGACTGATTAAAAGTCACTTAGGTGCAATATTGTATCACCTATTGACAGATCTTGTTTTGATTGTCCATTTTTGAGGCAAATACATGACTTAAGATTCATTAATCAGCGTATGTAAATGTGTACAGGTACATGTACACTGTGTATCTGCCATGCATTTACATGCAGGTTGAGTTTCACACATCAAGGATTACATGTAGTTAGCAAGAACCAGTGTTCCAGATAAGTGAGGGGTCTCTGGTCAAAAACCCGACAAGATCAGCTACACAACCCAATAAATTAGTAGAAAAATTATAGTGATTTGGTGGGAGCATTGGAAATTGACCCGTTAGAATTCCTTATTGCACCCAACCTTTAAAACTTACCTGGAACCCTGAAGGACTAAAATAAATCTAATTTTTCAAGAGGCATTTTTCCTCAAAAATCTGAGTTACAGTACATGCAGACTGTATACATGTGCAGTAAAACCTTGAACCTCCATTTACTAGAATTTATCACTATTGAGAGCTTTTATATTTAATAGTACCAAATACCACCAACACACAAATAAACTGGTTTAAAAACAGCCACAGAGCAAACTCAAACAAGGATTTTAGGAAGTAGAGGAACTCGTACAAGGATGGCATATAAATTAAAATTTATATGTCATGTAATTTCAACTGACCTTAGAAAGTTGATCATCCCATTTTCTATGAAGTTTTCTGAAGTCTGGAGCTTGCTTAACCTTGCTAGCCTTTTTATTGATTTTAGTACCAGGGTGTACATTAATATTCTACAATAAACAGAATAGTATTAATAATAATTATTATAATTTGCAACTCATGCAAGAAATATGTCCTGTCATGCATTAGAAAGTTGATCATCCTATTTTCTATGAAGTTTTCTGAAGTCTGGAGCTTGCTTAACCTTACTAGCCTTTTTATTGATTTTAGTACCAGGGTGTACATTAATATTCTACAATAAACAGAATATTATTAATAATTATTATTATAGTTTGCAACTCATGCAAGAAATATGTCCTGTCATATGTGGGACCCAGATGAAAGAAGAGACAAATAAAACACTAAAAAAGGACTTTCTGCTAAGATGGGTGCCCAGGCTGTGTGGGGACCTCTACTGTGACAAGCCAGCCCCTTATAGACAGTAAAACACTCCTAATTGGCTGGCAATCTGACCATTACCCAGAGCTCTACAGTATAAGCCCCCATGCAAAGTCATCTGGTCAAGGTCCTTCATACGGAATTACATGTACATGTAACAGTTGAGAAATGGAAAATACTCTCTACATTTATTTAATGTACTTAAGTGGCAAGCACTTAGCATTTTCAGAGCCTCTCAAACAAAAAAACAAACAAACAAACAAACAAACAGTAGAGACAGACCTATTATTTGGGTTTTTATCAGATGTATGTGAAGCATTGCCAAAATAATCAGACAAGTCTTTAAAAATCAACTTTCAATGTTACTGAACACCACAGCTAGAAATTGTAATTTACATGACTGCAATTAATATGAAATGCAATGCAAGGCAGCTGGTCAAATTTCCCGGTGCCCACCGCCCTTAACGAAACCCCTGTAAAAAATATTACAGGTTATGGCCCTTAATGACAGCCCTGTAAACCACAATGAATTATAACAAATTAACACAAGCACATCTACATGTTGAATGATGTAATGTCAACCTACTGGGTCTGCATTTTCTTTTCCTTTAGCTTCTTTTTTCACAGGCACTGGTATAGAACTTGAAAATCAGCAAATTAGTCAATTAAGTGTAAGCATAAAAATTAAGTAATATATAGATTTAGCCAGGCTTAAAAGCAGAGCTCCTGATTGCAATAACTGATGATAAAGGAAAAAGAGAATTATTTTTTTCTTGGATCAGAATCGCAAAAAATGATCAGTTGTGAGCATGTAATTGTTCGGCGTGTGGTTTTGCTATTTTTTCCAGTTAAATTTTAACGAACTATACCCAACAAGCCTAACCAAGATTGTAGAAATTATATACGCAATATATCAGGGACTTTCCAAGAGACAATTGTACAAGGAATATGTCAGGAAAAAAGTCAACAACATGCCAGGGGTTAATTTGCACCAAAATTTTGCCCTTGTGAGTACTCCTTCCTTCTCCCCCAGAGAAATACATGTGACGTGACTTGAGCCCGCGATCCAATCGGTAACCCAGTAACTGGTCAGCAGTCAATTTGAAAAAAGACACGCAACCTCGATGAGCTCTAAACCTGAGCCTGCAATATAGTCATGTGATACAGGTCAGCAGATAGCTTGTTGTGACAGCTGTCAATTAACAATAGCCTGGACATCCAAAATCAAAGATGTAGCTATGGTAATGGTGCTACTCTCTTAGTTCGTACATACAGACGGACGGACGTATGGACAGTCACGTGACAACCAAAATTTTTCAGATCAATGGGTTACCAAATTTTCTAAGGTATGAGGCTCCACTATAAAATTGAATAAAAATACACATCAACCTCTTGGTGAAACATACCTCTTTGCTGAGTTTGGATGTGATAGAGTCCTCTTTTTAACTAATGAAAAAAAAATTTACTGTCACATTAAGAAGTAATTAAAAGTACACAAATTGAAGTATGAAATCGGTATGCTCTACTCTCCTAAGTTGTGGACGGGGTGCAGTTTTAACACTTCTTCAGCTCAGAAGACCGACAATTATTGCATGTACATCTATTAACAGGCTGTACTTCATATAAATTTACATGACCATACAGTCAAGTAACTCCGCTACGTAGTGGTAACTAAGTCATTTTCACCATGAAACAATCCTGTATTTACATTGTTGCTTTCTTTGCCAAGACATGAATTTTCAATTCTTCTAATCGATATGTACACGTATGCCCCACCAAGAACTGTTTGATTCTCCCACATACCTTCCCTGATCTTGCTTGCACTGGCCTTATTCCTAGTCGCTTTTCCTTTGCAAGAAGTTCTGATGAGTAACAAAAATTGTATCATAAGTAAAGTTAGAGTACTCCTCATAAAACATAATAGATTGACAGTTTTCTTGCCTTTCCCGCTTTTCGACCAATGGTATTTCACTTCACTCAGACGAAGCAGAAATGAAAAAATTACCGAGATCAGGGCAGGCTCACTTTCTCGGCACCTCTTCACCAGACTCCTTCCCGCTGGATCGGCGCTCTGCTCTTCACCGCTCGCGCGTGTGACTCAAAGGTGAGCCTGCTCGCAGGCTAACAGAATTATAATGAAATGTCTTACTTAATTTTTCTGAGAACAGTCTGTCTTTGTTTAGGGTCCATCTATATAGTCTGACAGCTAGAACCCAGGGCTTGCAAAAAAGTGCAGTCCCGTCGTCCAGGACATGTAGATTTTCTTGGCAAGTAACTTTTCACTCTCACTTGCCTAAATGGGCAAGGGACCAGGCAAGTCATTTGCCAACTAAATAAAAAATGTGAACTAGGACTTTCCCAGGGCAAGCAAAATTTGAGAGCTGCTTGCCTGAAGGGCAAGCTGGCATTCAATGTTTTTTTTAGCCCTATCCCAGACAACTCTCCAGTGCAGTGTGCTGCATGCCGAGGATACCGTAAGTGAGCCAAATGATACCCCAAGGAAAAGTTATCTCCTGATACATGCAGCCATCCATCAGGCACTCCTACCTGCCCAGATAAGATAACTCACCCACCCAATTTGTTTTAACCCCCGAGACCAAGTCACTATATTATTGTTGCCATATCAGGTCAGTAACTTGAAATCACAGGATATATCAGGAATTTCTGATGACTTCAAGTATCTGTTCTTTTAACAACCATGCCAACTAGTCGAGAGTTTTATAGTATGCCAAAGATGGGAGTATTTGGTCCAGTACACAAACTACAAAACCAAACCATTAAAAAGAATCACTTGGCATTTCTGAACAAATGCTCAAAGCTCTCAGATGGTTTCAATTGTTACCATATGACTGAGAAAATCACTTCATTGTGATTGGCTTAGAACAGGCCAATTTATCATTAATTTTTAATTTACATGTACACTGGAGTGCAAATTAGCATGCACACTTTTGTAACTTTCTCGGCCATGTAATAAATGAGTAGTCATACGAAAGCTTGAACAATTACAAGTAAGGATTTACACCACTCATGATTGATATTATTGAAAATTCTTTCAAAATGCACTTGCCTTTATTTTGAGAGAATTTTCATATATCACTAGTAATGTAAATCCTTAATTGCAGTTGTATTCATTTGATTACCTGTACTTATTGTTGTAGATAAGCTTATTAGTCTTATTAATCTCGGTGAGTCAAAGCAACGATAATTTTTGGGTCAAAAAATTTGAGATTTTATGCTATACCAATTTAATGCAAGGCTCGAAAAATTCCTCTGCTACAAAGACAAAATAATACGTGTAAACGATTGATATTTCTAAAGAAAGATCTGCTAAATTGAAATAGTTCGTGGAAATTCTAAAAGAATTTTAGACTGCCGGTCTAGGTTTTGAAAACACTTCCCGGTTGCCGGGTATCTTTATAGAGTCTGACAGAACGACGTTTATTGTTATACTTTCACTATTTATTAAATTCCAAGCAATCTGGATCGGATTTCAGTGAACGTCACCATTAATGGTTCGGTACGTGAACGAAAAACTGGAAAGCTTAAATCCGCTTTACATTGCTAGGCACTACCAAGAAATTAAGCTAAACACAAAACAATCACTTTATTGGAACGAAATTGACTGCGTTCTCGCTTGTGAGTTACAACCAACTAAACTGCAATGGTTAAGGAATCGAAGCGACTGCATCATCTTTATAGCATAGGTATAGATACTCCTTTGAACGTGCAAAGTACGTTTACTTCGTGATTCATGTAACATGTCTCAAACCGTAATGGTATGACTTTCATGTAAGCTTTGAGTACATGGATCAACAACTACAGGACAACTTCCTCTTACCCGTCACCAGATGTCTTCTTGATTGATTTTGACTTCAGTCTCGCCTCACCAGCCGTTGGCATGACTCTCCCAAAGTTACATGTTCTCGTTTAGATCCACGTAAGGATAGATCCGACGGGATTTGAGCCAAAACTTCAGGAAACTCGCAGTTCAAACAGATCGCGGAGCAAGGAAATCGAAGAACACGAACATGGCTGTGTTAAATTTCCCGTTCGTTTATTCTTAGCCAATCAGATCGCTTAGAAATTTCAAACTGATCCTGTCCCGGATGTTGAAGCGTCTGAAGCAAGGAACGCCTGGGAGAAAGCTGCCTCTCCCCAGATTCCTGCGCAGGATGGGCTTTCATCAGAGAGACAAAGGATTTCAAGCAGCAATGTAAAGAAGATGCTGTACGCTATTTCCCCCCCTCATTACGTCTCAAAATAACAGTTTTCTACTATACCTGAGAAGTTGCCCATGTTTTAGACATTTATACAAAAATCTTCTAATACAAAGCTTTATCAAACTCTTACTGCGGTCTAAACTGCGGTCACATAACAAGTCACTTGTGAAGTTACAGCACTGACCACTAGCCACTAATGACTGTTTTGTTCAGGTGAATTAAAATTCAGCATTCTTGACCCCCATCTCTGGGGCTCTTAGCGCATGCGCAATCGATGTGAAGCCCATCACCCGACGAAAATTCTGTTTCCGGTTTGACTGTGCACGTGTATTCAAGTTCAATAATGGTTTCTGAAAATGCGTAGAGAGAGCAGCTTTTGCTACTGACGCTGGCTCCGACTCTCCTTTTTCATCCGGAGGTTTTGATTATTCTGAGAAAAAGTATGGCAGCCTCTCGGAACGAGATTGGCTCGATGCCCGGGGGGTACTCCCAGAAAAATTTTGTGGGGGTGTGC